TCTCAGCCACTGGCAGGTGAAGGAGAAAGCAACAACTGCAAATGGGATGGGAGGATTTTTATTTATTTATTTATTTGAATTGGGGGCTCCTTTGTTTTCAGTTCCCTGACTACAGCTCAAATCTGCTACAAAGGAGTAACTAGAAAAAAGTGTGATGCAAAAGCTGAGTATGAGCGGTGTGGACATATGAGAAAGTCAACAGTGGAGCTGGCTTTGCAGAGATGATGAGGGACGGGAAGTATTATAAGACAGACAAGAGTTTCAGGTGGAAAAAGAATGGGGGAGGGGTTTGGAGAAGTTACTCATCAGATTTTGCAGGAAGAGCTGTGCTAATGTGAGTATGCAAGAAAATGTGAACATAAGGCATTCCAGAATCATAGTATGGATTGGCAATTCATAAGACATGGGAAAACTATCCCTCTCATGTTTTAGAACATCCTGGGTTGTTTAGTGATGGTGATGTGTTGGTCAGGAGTGGGGGAGATTTTGTCTCTCTAAACAGGAGAGACCCTGTATTTAGTACTATGGGAACGGACACTGGCAAAATTCCCAAAAGAGAAAAACAGGAATAGTCTAGATTAAGATGTAGCAAAGGAAAAGGGCAAGAGTAGAAATCTGTCATCCGTGGCCTCTCTTGAGTGCAGAGCTGTGAAGGCAAAACTCCCTTTGAAGTAGAATTGCTTAGCTTGGACCACCCTTAACAACTTTTTCCCAGTGTGGAGGTGCAATATCTATTTGGTTAGAAAGCATTTAAACAGGCTGGTTTTTAATATCTATAATATATGTTATCATTTGTGTAGGTGAAAACATTAGCACTTCTAGAGCTTTTCCATTGTACAGTAGAGACTTTCCCATTGGATACAATTTCATTCCCTCCTCAGTTACATTTTCTATAAATCAATGCAATTGCCAGCTGCAGATTTCAATAAGCGTTATACAGGGAGTGCCTCCTTTTAACTTTGATATTCCATTACTTAATTGCTCCAATAAAATCTGGTACTGGTATTTTTCATGTAAGGAAAAAAAAGCTGATCACTAATGTAAGTCATTTCTATGGGAAAACAGTGCAATTATGAAGTAGGTTTGAGTGCATTTTTGCCACAGAAAATAGATGGTCTTTAAGGTGGAAGCACTGATAGCATTTTGCCAAAATTTGCTGGATTACTCAAAGTTCCCACTGAGGTCAGAAATAAAATATGTCCCCTGTTACTCTTCAAAATGTTAACAAGGCTGAGAAGACAAGAATGGCAAATAGAACAGAACAGAGTACCACAGCACAGTCAATTATAATTTGTGTTTAAAATGAGAAAGCACCCACATAAGCTGTAGCCAGATCTGGAAGAAATGGGTCCACTAATAAGTTTAAAGAATAATAGTGTGGGATACTATAGATAATTAGTCCCCAAATCTTGAACCAAGAGGACTTTGTTTTGTTGTTCCTACTGGCCCTCTTTTTGTTCCTGCTGGCTGATCTGGACATTCTGAACTCATTAATCAATTGTGCTGTATTGTCCTCAGAAATCAATGCAGGAATAGTCAAGAGAAGTGTGAACATAACTGTCTGTAGACTTCCAGAACTATGAAACTGTAAAATATCAGTCAAATAGTTTGCTTACTTCGTTCTGGAATTTTTAGATATGAATTGCCTTAGCAAGGCTATTGTTCTCATTCTCATCTAATTGGGAAGAACAATGATTCAGAGCACAGTTACACTAGATTTTAAAAACCTAGCATTTGAATCAGATTTAGCACATTTTAAATCCATTTAAATAAAAGTGACTACATGATACACATAGAAGCATGGATTACTTTAACAGAGAATCATGTTATTTTGATTGGAAACAAGTTATTTTACTCTTCTGCCAAAGGGTCGTTTATTTTAACTCTGATGTAAAATTGATTTATTTTGAATTGTTTTGGCATACATGTCAGTGTAAATTGTGTCGGTGGAGTTTGCTGTTCACTGGCGTGCCTTCTGTGTCCCATGTCCTTCTCCACTCCCTATGTGTGTATGTGTCTGAGTACAATGATAGTTTGAATATCAATTGTTTCAGGCAGACTCCCTTTCCTGTAAGACAGAAGAGACTGGCATGGTGCCCACAGGTCAGTTTGCCTCTCCTCCTCTTCCAGTGGCAGAGAAAGCATCACTTTTTCAAATATGCAGATGCCACTGCTACTGATCAAAGAATACAAAGTGAGAAAGAATCCTGGCCTAGCCCAGCTCTTGACTTTTCTTGCTTTTTCTGATGACATGTTCTGCATTCAGGTGATGCATTGTGTTCCCCTTTGTTGTTCTGACCTGGCTGGCTTTTGATGACCTTACGAAGGAGTGATCTCCAAAATGTCCTGTTTTGTTCTGTGTCCCCTTTAGGGCTTTAGTGACAAGCGTGCGTGCGTGCGTGCGTGCGTGCGTGCGTGTGTGTGTGTGTGTGTGTGTGTGTGTGTGTGTGTGTGTGTGTGTGTTTATTTACATATGTATATACAGTGGCAAGACTTTTAAAAGTAAACAGAAAATAGTTGTATTTCTATTTTTAAAAAGAAAGAATGCTTAACCCCATTAGAGTCAAAGGTTTAGTTTGCTACAAAATCAACAGTTCCACCAAACAAATATTGTAAGTTATTTTAATATAGTGAAAGCAAACAGCACAGCCACTGAGCTGCAACTTCAGCTTAATTAAAAGTTTATCAAACACTAGCCTAAAAGTTTGATTTAAAATCTGGAGGCAAGTCAGAATGGTAAAAACCTACTGGCATGCTCAACATTAATTATTTTATTCTTTACAATTCTCTTCTCTGAAAATCTGATCTAAAACCCTCCTCAGAAATAACAAAGAAATCTAGGACACTGTTTTAGTTTATCTTTAATCAAAAGGACACTAGAGTGCTAGTTTTTCTTGAGAATGCCTCAGCCTGCATTTTCCATCATCCCCGTGGAAAGGAAATTAATGTCTAAAACTTGGAGGGCATCCAAACAGTTTTCTTTCATATCTGAAGACATCTCCTGTTCACAAAGCTGCTAAGAAGTCATTGTAACCAAGACTGTATGGCACTTAATTTGGATAAACAGAAAATCCTAGGGATGTACACAACTCTTGGCACTAAAATTTCTTTGAGTTTGTGTTCATACCTGCCTGATACAGCCTTTTTCTTGGATATGTATAAAGGTTTTTAGCATGTTATACAAAGGAAAACAAAAGCCTTTTGAAATGTGTTACTAATTATTTAGATCTCCCATCAAAAGCTCAGTACTAATAATCATGACAAACAGAACTCATGAGTCTTGTTCCTTCGCTGCCTTACTTTTCTCCTCCTCCCATTTTAACTGTCCTTTAGAGGAAGATGCTACTATTGCCAATCCCCACATAACATGCATCTAATTTCAGAGCACACAAAAATATTTGATACACAAAGTGCTACTATTTTATGTATCAGAAGGATTAAACATTTTAGTAATAAAAGCAACATCTACTCTGTAATACCCTGCTTGCAGGCACTGAGACACCCAACTGTGGCTCTCTCCACCACATCGGATGCTGCCACATTTGGCATGCTGACAAGGTGCACAAAAGCACACTGCTTCTATTCAGTTCAGAAATGTGAATGCTCTAAATCCTTTTCTGTTCTGTTACAACTCCTCCCCACCCACCCTGACTGCCCCCAAACTCTATGTGAAGTCTGGCTGTTCTGGAAGAGAGCCAGATCTTGGCCAGAATGGAAGGCAACTAAAAAGTTCAGGGAGTGCAAAAAGAAATGCAATATGATGTTACTAGAATCAACCCCACAAAACTGCAGCAGCCACAAAATAATGACAGTACAGTGAGGTGGTAGAATAAAAAACCTAAGTGGACAGTGCATCACTTCTACAAAAGAAAGGGATTTCAGGAAAGGATTGTCAAAGGTTTGTATATATGTCATACCTTACTTTTTAAAGAGGGTATAAATCACATAACAAGACTTGTGCCCCTGCTGGATTTCTGAAATACGTTGGCCATGAATAATTAAAATAAAAAACAAATCCTTTCAAGGTCTTAAACTGAATGTGCTGATACGTATCTTTATTAATGCATTTACTAGGTTATTTTGCCACTATACAGATGTGCTAGTCTCAAATGTGTCTGGAGTCAGTCAAACCCAAAAGCCCTTTCCTTTTTCTACATAACCCTTATATTGCCAGTTCTTACAGCATTGTCAGGGAAATGCTGCACTTCTCCAATTCCCCAAAAACAAATCTCAGGGCAACCAGTTCTGGATGAGAGGTTTTTATTTTTGTACGTGAGATGGCTTTAAGTCCTGGACATCCATCTCCATCCACTTCAAGGCTGGCACTGGCATGTTTACTCAACAGGAATGTGTTTGTGTGTGTGTTTCATTTGTGCAGTATTGATGCACCAAAATACCAGGAGCAAGGGGAGGGAACTTGGGAGAGTAACAGTGGGTGTAAGCAGTTGGGCCCTTCATGGCTGTTTGCAGCAAGGCAGGGAGAGGAGTGCCAGAGTCACCAGACTGATGATGGTATTTGAGGAACAGGGATTGAAAGCTATTGTTTACATTTTAAAGCATCATATTTTCTACTTTGAAGATGGGGTGACGTGTGCTGATAACACATTATGGAGTAAACTGGTCTTTTCAGTTGTCAGGAAACTATTGATTCATTTACCATGCTGAAATGATTCACAAAAAGAAAATAATAGCAAAAGGATTATATGTGATGAAATTACTCTCCATGTCTTCAAGGACAGAACACAGTGGGAGTCACACAGTGAGAGTCTTATTAGGCAACTAATTACTTGTTTCATTCATAGCTCTTTCCACCACAACAGATGAAATTGATGCCAGCATCCTCTCCTTGCCAAATAAATTCTAGAAATAGTAATAGAAGCAGTAGGAAGCTATCTAAACTTAACTATTATTGTATTTGATGATAAGCAAGGCTAGCATCATCATTTGGAAACACTTGTTGACATCCCACTTTCTTAATGATTCTCTCTTGTATATTCCAGGTTATATACCGAGCTCTCTCACCACCTAATTCTCATGATGATCCTTACAGCCCTGAAGCTCAGGCACAGTTGAAGATCACCAACCTTCGTGTACAGCTGCTTAAACAACAGTCCTGCCTTTGCCATAGCAATGATCTAAATACAAAGCCTCCACAGCTAACCTACTATGCAATCTATGATTTCATTGTAAAGGGGAGCTGCTTTTGCAATGGTCATGCAGATCACTGTGTGCCCATCAAAGGATTTAGGCCTGTTAAAGCAGCAGGTGTCTTTCGTGTGGTAAGTTTGCATTACATCATATTAATAATACGTATGTCCCATGAAGTAGATTCTTACTCACACCAACCCCTCCAGAGGGTTTCTAAGTGTAAAGTACTCAGTTGTAGCTTTCCAGTCCCTCCTTCTGATAGTGGTTTGGGACTATGCAGCTTGTTTGCCATGCAGATTGGCTCTTCTCCTGAGGTCACAGTGGGGAACTGATCATTGGTTCTGCAGTCCTATGCCCAACCTACTGAGCTTTCTAGCCATAAGCTTTGTAAGCAACAAATACATACATGTTTAAACCATCAGGGAGGGAGATCAGCTTTTCAAAAATAAGATACCTTTTGAGCCTGGTGAGAGTCCTATGGCGCTATAGCTCACTGAACACAAGAAATACCTTCCAGGACAGTTCTTTGAAGATATGTTTTGAAATATGGAAAATAAGTAACATGTGGTGCATACCTAAATTAGAAATAACCCTAATCAACCAAGACACCATGCCATTTTAGGCTGTGTTGAACCCAAACTCACTCTAGCCTAGGAATGTTGGGCGTGACTTCAGACCATTCTGACCTTAGCCTAACTTAGTTCTAGCATTGTGGCTGTAAGTCTCTCCTTCTTTCTTTCCTTTCTTTTTCTTTTCTTTTCGCTCCTCTGCTGGGTGATCACAGTTGTGCCAGCAGGTGTGAGATTAGTCAGAATAAGGGAGCTGTGCCAGTACAAAGTCTTCTGTTATTTCCAAACCTACTGCAACTCGCTTATCTTGGAAACTGATCACACCATTAAACAAACAAACAAAAAGTCTGGGTAATATGAATATAAAACGATGTCAAAATAAGCTAAACATACAATAATATAAAAAGAGCTTTTGACCACCCAGTTCAGGTACTAGGAATTATAACGTCAACTCTGATGCAGGTTTGTTATCATGCATTCTCTTAGATTAGTCCATGTGCATCTTACCACCCCTCCTTAAAAGTCTAATTTCACAGGGATGTACATAGATCTGAGGCAAATCCCGTGTCTGTGTGAAGAAAGGCATTTGTGTCAGAAGATATGACACCTTTAATTGTTCCTGATTCCTTTTATCCCTACATGGATTCTGCTATTCAAGTCTCCACTCAGGCGTGAAGCTGATTCTGAGCCTGACCTAACTCGCATAGGTGTTGTGAGGATGAGGTGGAATTTAAATAAATAACAAAATAAGAGCTGTAGATTCCCTGAGCAGTATATAGACCAGCATCAGGCTTCCAGATGGCTAAAGTATGGAATCAACCCGTGAGCAAATGTAAACACCAGCACTTCCCTGCTGCTTCTGAGCCAGATTATATGAGATGAATGTTTTTATATCTATTAAACCTTGGAAGGGGAAATCTGGCAGTTTGGAGCAGGGAAACATCCAGCACAAAAAGGGGTGAGTGCCTTTTCCCCAAATTGTTCCCAATCTTTGCTGCATTCTCATGTGTCCTCTCTGGAAGTGATTTTTCCTGCTGGACTAACTTTACACCTATAAACATATAAAGTTGGGATGCTCAGCAATTGTCAAATTTTGCAATGTGCTTTTCACTTCAAAAGCACCAAAATGCATACAAACATCATGTTTTGATTTAATGTGAATGCCAAAATAAATTATGTTAGGGTAAAATGAGTATATACTTTTATTTTGAGTAAATGTTGTACTTTTTAAAGTATTCCCACAAACATTTTTTTCAAATGCACATTGATGCAGAAATGGAACAAAGTGGACATGTGAATGAACACACGCTATAATGGAATGAACTAGATCTGAGCGGATCCACCCTTAGTACAAGGTATATTTTGAACCTCAGTGCAAATACATGGCAATCTATTTACTCAATTGTAGGTCAAGTTAAAATCTAACAGTGCTATCATGCATGTGTCTCCTTAGATGTTCTGCTAATGTGTTGGCTTTCCCCATAGAAGTGGACATGTATGAAGCATGAATATGTTATGTTCTTGCTTATAATATATAACAGGGCTGCATTTTAGTAATCAAGATCAAGAGCAATTGGCAATAAACAGTATCAGAAGGTCCTATAGGTTTTTTCTTGCTTTATAGACCTGAATTATTATATAGTGAATACAGTTTAGTTTTTCTTACATGATTAGTACAGTATATCCAAATCAGTCTCTGAATATTGGCATAATAATATGCTTGACGTTAAAAGAATTGGGAAAGATTGGGAAGGGGCTCCTTTTAAGGACTAAGGTGAAAGAGAGAAATGAGTAAAATAAAATTATGTTAGCAAGAAGATCTGGCAACAAACCAGCTGTATGGTGGAAAACACCTAACCTGAGTTAAATTGTAACTTTTACTATGGAAGTCAGCATATTTCTGCTATAATAAAATTAACCTCAATAGATGTGGGAAAATGCATACATATGAAATCTTGTTAATATTTTGTAGATAAATAGTAACACCTGCCATATTCATAAGCTCTTCTCTTAGTGGAAATTATTTTAGAGTACCTACAGAGAGCAGGCTGTTTGATGAAACAATGCCCAGGACCACAGTGGACTGTAAAACAATTTGTTAGCAGTTATGTTTTCTATATGCTCTTTTCCTGCAAGACTTGCAGCATAATGACAGCAAGACATAAGGAATGCAGATTCGGCAGGCTAGCAGGCTTCTCAGAGATGAAGTCAGAACCAATGTTGGCGCTATGTAGTTTAGGCTTACTGGTATCATGATGACAGCAGCCTAGGTCCTGCTCAAGTATGAATGATGAGGAAGGTAAAAGGAAGCTATCACATAGTAACTGGTAGTGCAATCCTGTCTGTAGTGGTTCTGGGATGGGCAGAAGCCCAATTGTGGTAGCACAGAACTGTGCCAGAAGAACTGTCCCTGTGCTGGTTGATCTCAGAGATCTACCAACTTTACCATCTACTGTACTAGCTGAACTGGTGTGCTTACTAAGGTCAGCCAACAAAATAGCCAAAACAGCAGGGGGGAGGGGTGGCAGGTTGAAAGAAGAACCAAATTATGTTGTATCAAAACTTCTCGCAGCCCAGGGATGCAAACGATAGGCCAACCTGAGGAGAGTTCTAAGTAATTTCTGGTATTCCTAAATAGCAAATGTAGTTCGGATGCGAGCTCAGAGCTCAGCTGGCCTTTAGCTTTCTTGGCTAGTAAGGATTGTGCCTTTAACCTGAGAACAAGCCCTAGTAAACTTAGCAGGACTTCACTTTTGTCATTTCTATCAGGGATAGGAATTTTATAGCCTTCCAGATGGTGATAAACTACAACGGCCATCTGTCATAAACAACATGGCCAACAGTGATAGGCGAAGGAAGTTGTAAGCTAACTATATATGGAAGGCAACTAGTTGCCTATTTCTGGTTTTTATAGTGGAGCATTTGTATGTTATCTACGCTCCACAAAAACACATAACAAGAATCATGCTTTTCCAAAGTTCTTTCACTAAAAAAGTAAATGCAGTATTTGGGTGATGTATTTGATGGTGAGAATTACAAATAATTGAATAAACAAGAACAGCAGCAGCTGTTAAGCAGATATCTTGTCATGCAAGCTAGGGAGGAAATATTTCTGCTTTGGAATCGTAATTCTGTTTGTGCACTCTTACTGATAATTTTAGTAGTACACCGTTGGTGACAGGAAGTCAGCAAAGCTGATTTAAAGGTTTGCTCTGAAACTGAAAAATAAGTCTAGCATCAACATGTTTATTAACATGAAATAACTCCGTTATTTTTTTACATCTTTCCATGATACTTTTTCGTCTGCAACACTATTTTGCCACTCATTGAAAAGACCTAGGTGAACAGGTTTTATACTTTCCCAGCATGTGTTCCAATAATATTGACTAAAATAAAAGTGCAATTATAGTGGATCTCAAAACATTCTTCAGTATAAATAGCAGTAAAAGAAAAACAACAGGAGGGGCATGCAATCTAGTCTACAAGGGAAGTGGTTCAGTATAGCGCATGAGAGAACATAAGTCCTGAAGCATTTCTTTTAAAAACAGACAGCTTGAAAAGAAGTAATTGAATATATTAATTCAACCAAAACAAAAGAAACATGCCCTAGCAACTGTTTTCATGTGTGAAACTCAGTCACTCATTTATCTTACACAAGTCAACTTCTGTAACACTGTTTGCCTTGTATAGTATAATGAGTGACACTACTAGAGGGCTGTCAAGTTAAGAAGCAAAGCAGTCTTGGAAGTGCAGTAAAATAAAAAGGCCTAACACAGAATGAAAAATAGTGTGAAAAAAAGAATTCTGGTTAAATGAACTCACTTGTGTCAATTCACAAAGAGTGAAACATCCTGGGAAATGTGTCTGTTTAGCAATGCCTCATAAAGTGCAAAGTAGCAGTGCTTTAGTAGTATATGGGAAATGGCTGGAAATGTTTCAGTCTAGCCCATTGTGGCAGCAATAAGTCAAACACAAGCCACGCAGAATAAACATACAAGTGCAAAATTATATTCTCCTATGGTACCAGCTACTCCTTATTAATAGTGCAGTACTGTATTATTACAGAGATAATGGAGATCAAATGGCCATCTGTTGGGCAACGTCCCATGTATACATGGCTACAGTATATTGACAAACATTAATGGAGTCATTATAGATCAGTGATGGCGAACCTATGGCACGCGTGCTACAGCTGGCATGCAGAGCCCTCTCTGTGAGCATGTGAGCCATAAGTCGCTAGATCGCTACCCTCGGCAGCCGAACCTGAGGAGGCGGCTGCAGCCACGGTGCTAGTGCCCCCGACAGGTGGCGGGCCAGGATCCAGAGCAGCTGGCACTGGCAGCGGTGGGCCAGCTGAGCTATAGGGAGTTGGTGGGGTTGGGTATGACTGGAAACAGATCCAGAGTGGGGTCTGGAAGCACCTCCATGCCCGGGATTCCCCCTTCGGCTGCCACTTCTGCTTCTGCGCCACCACTTCCGCTTCTGCCACTGCCTGCCACCCATTGGGTTGTTGTTGTTTCCCCCCAGTTTGGGCATTCAGACTCAAAAACGTTCACCATCACTGTTCTAGATGTTGCAAGGAAGGATAGAAAAACCTTCAGATTACTGCCAACTGTGATGAGGAGGAAAGTGCTTCTGGGTACAGTATCTGGTGAGCTGTCAGACCTCTAATGTTCCACAGTATGAAGTGCTTGATGTACATAAAATTCAGAACCTTAAGTCTAGAGAAACACACTGTTTCTTTAAAACCCACTGCAAATGTTTTCAGAGTAAAGAACAAATCCAGCAAAATCACTTAGAATGTACTTCTGATGAGCAGCCTGTTTCTAACTTTGAGAAGAGTTACTCAGTCCCCGTCCCCCCGCGCTCTATGAGCTATCTTGGCTTTATGGGTTCTCACACTTTTTTGATAAGAACAGTTTTCTTTAAAGGTCAAGTACTGATTAAATAGTTCGGCGCAGTTGTTCAGTTCTTTGTGTTTTTGCTATATATGCCATACAAATGAACAAATGATAGGGTATCTTACCCACACTGTTTAGTCTCACTGGCTCCTTTATATTCAAGCATGAGTAGTGAGGGTGGAATCTACCACCCTGAAATAATTTGTTGTAAATATAATCCAGTAGAGATGGGGAAGAAGGTCTCTTCTGTAAACCACTGTAAATCACTAGAGCTCCAAAGGGTGAGATTACTCATCCATCACCCCAAATCTTGCAATAGTTGAATAAAAAAGCTAAGGAACTAGGAACTCCAAAAACAGCCCCATGAGGACTGAACATACTTCGTGACCACAACATGCTGAATGTTTATCTGAGAACAAGGGTTACATGGCATAGTAAAACACAGAACAGGGGAAGCAATTTAAAAAATAAAATAATTCACAAAATACATGCTTGGAGATATAAGAACAGATTATGCATTAATTAGATTAATTACATCTCCATAGAACTTAATGCCTCTACAAGCATGACCATTATTAGTATCCCTTGATCTTGTGGCTGAAGATTTTAATTGCAGATTTCTCAATTGCCTGTTAGAAGCCTCCAAACAGTGGCAAACCTCTACTGAACTCCAGAGAACTTTAAGCAGTAATTACCTTTCTCCAAACAATTATGCTAATAAAATTCTGCTTAGCTAGATTTTGAGTAACTATATGGGAGAATACATTTTGTACACAACTGATCTTGCAGTTTGAGATGTAGTTCAGCAGTATTGTAGATATTGTTTGTGTTTGTTTCTGATCATGGGGCGTTCTTGGCAAAGATACTGGAGTGGCTTGCCATTTCCTACTCCAGGTGTAGATATTACATACCATTTTCTCCTATATGCTATTGTGGTTCTGATTTCCTGTTCCAGAAATAGCATCAATCTCTCCTATGCTGACTGCAAAACCCATAAGTCAGGGTTTGTGAAGGGTGTTTATTCTAATTTTTCTCTGTACTTTGGAACCAAGATAAAACAATGAAGGTTGTTGTTGTTGTTTAGTCGTTAAGTCATGTCCGACTCTTCATGACCCCATGGACCAGAGCACTCCAGGCCCTCCTGTCTTCCACTGCCTCCCGGAGTTGGGTTAAATTCATGTTGGTAGCTTCGGTGCCATTGTCCAACTATCTCGTCCTCTGTTGTCCTCTTCTCCTCTTGCCTTCACACTTTCCCAACATCAGGGTCTTTTCCAAGGAGTCTTCTTCTCATGAGATGGCCAAAGTATTGGAGCCTCAGCTTCAGGATCTGTCCTTCCCGTGAGCACTCAGGGTTGAT